TGTAAAGATGGTATAAGTAAGGCTGAAGCGATTTCCCGGTACATGTACACTGATTACTCGGTCATCGATCGATAATTCCTCACAGTCAACTAATCGTTACGTGAAATATTACTCGTTACGGATGTTGGGTCCAAAAAGTACTGGAAACCCCATTTTGTGAAGTTTGAATCAGTTTCCACTGTGGGAATGCAGTTGCCAGGGGTATGGCTTGTGGTGTCCCCCGTGAATTCCGCGGCAGAATATCAGAAATTCCGTGCAGAATTCTGCGCCTGAAAACAGTAAATTCTGCGCTAATTCTGCAAATCCTTCCAAATTCCGCGGCAATTCTGCAAGGGGAATGAGCGTAAAAAGTTCTAAAACAGATTGAATTTCCGCAACCCCACCGAAGTTTGTTGTCCTTATCAATTCTGAACCAAAACTATGCGAAATCCTCTTGTAAAAAATTGAAAGCTCCAAAATGTATCGTCCAAGTTGATTTTGAAAGTCACAAGCAGGTTGGCTTGGCTGTGAAATCTATCAAAAGTCTCCAGAAAAAGCAGTTTTTTTCTTTTTTCTGCAATATTCCGCGGATTTTTTGAATTCTGAATTCTGCGGACACTACTGGATTTTGCGGAAATTCTGCAATCCGCGGAATCGCGGAATTCACGGGGACAGCTTGTGTTATGAGTGTTGTGAACCCTCTAAGATTCTCTAAATTGTCAGGATCGTACGACCACACGGCACGAGGACAACTCTTTTCCTTTACACAGTATATTTCACTTCATCGAATAATTTAAAACAATGAACAATAATAACACCAGCTATTTATAGCATGCAAAAACAGCGTACATGCAAAACATACGCATATAAAACTGGACATAACAGCGTATACAGCAAAACGCACACAGCGCATATAGCGTATGCCATGCAGCAACATCAGCGGTACGGCGGAGTCGAAATACAACATTGCAACGAATACAATGCCATAAGCACGAAGGCCTTTCCCACTTGAGAACTGGCGGTTTGCAACAATGAGGTTCAATTGATTTCAAAATACATTGTAGTTTACATGATTGTATACTACCGTATTTCCCCGTAAGTTAGTACGTACTAACTTTCGAACTTAGCAGCCACGTGAGAACTATCTTTCGGGGAGTACTTTTTTATCGGGGGTAAGTGGCACGCAGTGGGAAGCCTGCGCGACTCTAGTGCCCGTGCATATGATGTATGTACTGTACGGTGTCTGTACATGTAGGACGGGTACGAACTTACTATCTTTCGCGCGGGGGGGGGGGGGGGGGGGGGACTGTCTTTCGGGGTGATAACCTCGGCAGTGGAAAGTGTATTTTTTATAGGGGGGGGGGTACTATGTCATTGGAGAGAACTAACTTACGGGGAAATACGGTAGTCCTGACACTTATCACGTGCTGGTGCGGCTTTTCGACTTGTTGTCCATGCAGGAGTCAGGATTATGCCGCCTACTGAACATTGTTGCATGCGTTCCTATAGAGCATGCTGGCTGCTCTCCTGTTTTCCTTCCTGATTATGGACCTCAAGTTCGGACCCAACTGGTCAAAGAAATGAAGGAACAATTGTCATGGTGTACTCTCAGGCCAAGGATATGCCTTGTGAAACGCGCCATATGCAGTTACTAGAGTTGTCTCGTTCTTTGCAAGCTCTTCGGTCACAGGCAGTACTGTCACATCCACTGCGCAGCTGAACTGGACAATTTTTACAATTCCGAAACCCTGGCCACATCTCTTCACACCAAGCAAATATCGTTGGTTGGCACCGTCCGCGTGAACCGCACTGGATTTCCAGCCGTATCGTGGACCGACATGAAACAGTTTGAGAAACATGCAGAGCGAGGTGCAACACGCTATGTTCGCAACGGAGATCACCTGTACCAGCAATGGAAGGACAAGCGGTGTGTGTCAATGTACAGCAACATACATCAGGGCCATGAGCATGACACAGTAACAAGAAATGTCAAGATTGATGGTGCACACCAGCAAATGGAAGTGCAGTGGCCAATGTGCATCAGAGACTACAACAGCAGCATGAGTGGAGTCGACACGTTCGATCAGCTGATCGAAACTCACCGTGTGCTTCGCAAAACGAAGAAATACTGGAAGAGTCTCTTCTTGGATATGGTCGATGTGTGCGCTGTCAATGCATACCGCCTCTTTCACTTGTGGCAGAGCCAGCATCCAGGGGTGATAAGTCGACGATGCAACTTGCAGCACTCGGATTTCCGCTGTAACCTCATCCGGCAGCTGTCATCGATTGATGAGCATGCAACGCCACCAAAGCGCTCGTATCGCCCACTGCCTGTTCCGCAGGATGTCCAGGTTCCTGTTGCTCAGCTTCACATAAGAACTGCAGACACTGCACAGAAGTGGGTAACAAGCAGCACCAGTGTGTAACCTACTGCACTACGTGCGATGTTCACCTCCACATCACGAGCGACCACGACTGCTACGCCGCTTACCATGTGTTGTGAACCCTCTGGTTCTCTAAAGTGTCAGGAACGAACGACCCCACACGGCACGAGGACAACTATTTATTCTCAACAGTATATTTCACTTCCATCGACTAACAACAATGAAATGAATGAATGAATAACACTAAAACCACCAGGTAGTTATAGCGTGAAAATGACAGCGTATATGAGAAAAGCATACACATACCACATACAACTACAGCGCACACAGCAAACCGCACATACCGCCTGTAGCGTATACCACGCAGGGCATAGCTTAAGGATTTCATTTAGCTCGGACAAATAATGTCCTTCCGTTTTGAAATCTGTCCGGACATGCCCGGACATTTTCCACAACACATTTTCAGGATGTTTCTTCATTTTTTTAGTAGTACTGAAGTATATTCACAATGACTCATTATGTGGACGTATCTCACACATTACTATGTACAATTCGCCAATTTATTTGTATAAGAAACTGAACTATTAACTGACGACAAATGTATGTACAAGAAAGCGTTGCAGTGAAGAATTTTGCGAACGCGATATGCTCCTTGCAGAGAAGGTAAGTCAGTTCGAATTTGCGTCGTGCAATAGCGGCAGCACCATCGTCCATCTTGCACAGTGCCTTCGCAATTGGAGCGAATTCGAGGGCATTTCGAGCGGGACACTCTTGCCTGCGGAAAAGATTCATTGCTCGTTTATGCATCTCCGTTCCAGCATGATCCTTGAACGCTGATGTTCTCAGGTTCTTGGATCCGGTTATGAAAGCCTCGCTGAAGTTTTTACAACTGCGGACTCTGTCTACAAACTTGATGCACACGGCACCCTTCAAACATTCTGCTAACGGCCGATCGTTCTTCTGCCGGTCAAAAATCAGCCAGGCGGAAGTAGTCAGCTCTGCATCATTGTCCGAGATTCACTTATCGCAAGAAGCGGCCTTCACACCACGGACCTTTTTGCCCGGCGGCAAGTCCTCTGAATCTCCCTTTCGCTTTCCACAAGACATTCTAAAAGACTATCTGCATTCCTGGTCAGTGAAAGAGTGAAAAATAAAAGATGACATCTTCCTCTCAAGAGCGAACAACTGCACTGCAGACTGCAGATCAACCCTTCGATTCAAGTGCGAAGTCGACACCATGTAGATCTACCAAAGGTCGAAAGTGTGAATTGACTGTAGCAACCGCGTTGCTACAGGCGGATCAAGTAAGTCTGGTGAAGTCTACGCCTGAGGCTACGGAGTAGACGTGTTAGTTGTACGATATGTAAGTCGCATTTGGCACGAAGCTCCGAAGAAAGCCCAACTCTGCATAAAACGGTCGAAAGGTTGCTGCTCTTTTTTTCCTTTTTGACCGGACACTATGTCTGGTGAAATTGAAAACGTCCGGTCACTGGCCGAAAATGGCCGGAAAATGTCCGATGTCCGGCCGTTAATCTATGCCCTGCCACGTCGTAAACATCAGCAGTACGGCGGAGTCGGGATACAACTGCATTGGAACGAACACAATGTGAAAAGCGAGAAGGCCTTTCACTCTCGAAAACTTGCAGTTTCACAACATTCTCCCCACCAAAGGGCTTCTCACCGCCGCACAACAACTCCTAAGTCAAAACGATCGGGGCTCTGACTACACGCCCAGAACGAGTCATCCGCTGCTGTGGCAGTGGCCAAGGTGGAATATTACGAGTGCTCACCATTTCTGCCAACTGAGCAATGGTCTGCGGGCTTGCGCACTTCAGATGAAGCTCTAACGTTGGCTTCACGAGAGCACATACCGGAATGACTGCGGAGCTACCCAGGATATTGATGGCGAACTTGTCCATCCGCTGTTGGCTTGATTCCGCACCGAACGGCTTCACCTCAACAGTCTCAACACCAAGCGTGCCGATCTGGGCTGTCACGCACAACACAGTCACTGGGCCACTGCCTCGTGGGGCGGACGCTGGACCAGATAACCTACATTCGATCTCCGTGTTCCACACAGTCTCGCCGCTTACTTCTTCCGTGCTAACCAGTATCGCTTTTCTCATTTTCTCGGCTTCTACGCCTTGCGCTTCTAAGTCTTGCACCTCTAACACTTGCGCCTCTACGTCTTGCGCCTCTACGTCTTGCGCCTCTACGTCTTGCGCCTCTACGTCTCGCGCTTCTACGTCTTGCACTTCTACGTCTTGCACTTCTACGTCTTGCGCTTCTACGTCGTTCGGCCGAGACTCCAGCTGTTTCTGAGCGTCTCCGACCGATGTCGCCATGCTCTGTACCGAAGCAGTGGGCCTTGGATCCGATCCTCCCACTGGCTTCAAATACTCTTCTGACCGCTGCTTGTCTGTAAGCAAAGTCTTACACGCCTTGTCCGGCATCCTCCCGGGCGAGGCAAGCAAATCTCGCTTTGCTTCCTCATAATATGTACTGACGGCGATGTGCTCGCCCATCTTCTTGAGCTTTTCGTTAAACTCTGTGCGGAGCGCACCCTCTTGCCGTCTAGCACTGCGCTCTTCAAACTCCTCGCTCTGTCGGAGACTCTTCTCCACGTATTCTCTCAAGATGAGGAAAGGAGTATACCCCTATGAGTACATGAACAGCTTCTCCAGGTTCGATGAGACTCAGCTACCAGCACAGAGTGAGTTCTACTCTTCACTGTCTGATGAGGGGGTGAGTGACGATGACTACAAACATGCTGAGACAATGTGGATGAAATTCGACTGTCAGACTCTTGGTGATTATCACGACTTGTATCTCAAGACCAACGTGTTTCTCTTGGCTGACATCTTTGAGAATTTCAGAGTAGAAGCTGTCAGAACGTATCAGCTGGATCCAGCAAATTACTACACTCTGCCTGGTTTTGCCTGGGATGCTCTGTTGATGTACTCAGGTGTGTCCTTGGAATTACTAACAGACTATGATCAGCACTTGTTTGTAGAATCAGGAATGAGAGGCGGTGTGTCGATGGTCTCACAACGATATGCTGCTGCTAATAATCACTATCAGGAGAAATTTGATGCTGATCAGCCATCGTCATTTATCCAGTATCTCGATGCCAACAATCTCTATGGTTGGGCAATGTCACAGCATCTCCCAGTGTCTGATTTTCGGTGGGAGAAACCATCAGAGAAACTCCTGAACAAGATACTAAATACTCAAGATGATTCCTCATCGGGGTATATCGTCGAGTGTGATCTGGAATATCCACACGAACTTCATGGGAAGCACAACGATTATCCAGTTGCTCCGGAACGTCTTTCCGTCAATGAGGACATGCTATCTCCATACCAGCAGGAGCTTATTGATAAACTCAATTCTTCCGGAGTAGATGCTCTCAAACTTGTACCAAACTTGAGGGACAAGACAAAGTACGTTCTCCATTACCGAAACTTGAAACTCTACACTCAGCTCGGACTACGTTGTGTCAAAATTCATCGTGCTCTGAAATTTACTCAGACACCGTGGATGAGAAACTACATCGAGAAGAATACAGACCTCCGGAAGAAGGCAAAGGATGATTTCTCTAAGGACTTCTATAAACTGATGAACAATGCGGTGTTTGGGAAAACTATGGAGAACGTTCGGAGGAGAGTCAACATAAAATTGTTGAGAAGTCGTGAGGAGAAGAAAATCAAACAGCTTGTTGCCAAACCAACGTACAACCGCCATGTGATCTTCAACGATGACCTGGTCGGGGTACAAAGTAACAGGACAAAGGTCGTCCTCAACAAACCCATATATGTTGGGATGTCGATTTTGGATCTCTCAAAGACACTCATGTATGACTTTTACTACAATCACCTGAAAGTGATGTATGGCTCTGATGTGAGACTCTTGTACACCGATACAGACATTCTTCATTTCTTTACTGATGATCTGTTTGATGACATGAGTGAGTTTCTTGAGAAGCATGATACAAGCAATTATGATCAATCACATCCGTTATATTCCGAGAAAAACAAGAAAGTTGTTGGCCTGTTCAAAGATGAACTCGGTGGAAAACTGATCACTGAGTTTGTAGGACTTCGTTCCAAGATGTACAGTTACTCTGGTGAGGAAAGTGGAAAAAGAGCAAAGGGGGTGAAAAAAGCAGTGCTCAAGAAAACTATCACACATGATGATTTCCGAAATTGTCTCTTGGATCAATCCGTGTTCCATCGAGAAATGACAACACTCCGGAGTCATAGTCACGTTATATTCGGAGAAACGGTTAATAAGATAGCCTTATCACCATTGGACACAAAACGATACATCACAGAAGATAGATGTAGCACGTTAGCGTTCGGACACCATGAAATACCAAAATATCTGGCTGAGGAGGGGTTTGATAGTAGCATTTCATTCATGAGTTATGCTCCGGATATGATGAAGCAGTTCGTCCAGTGATCATGAGAAAGAAAAAAAGGAAAAAAAGGAAAAATATAGAAAGACATTTTTTTTACTTTTTCTTACACATTCGATTTTCTATAATCCTCCCATATAGCATCAAGTCTTTGTTGTGACGTTTTACACTTTGGAATGAATGGTTTGATCTTGATCACATCATCTTCATCATCAACGAGTTTCGAAAGTAGGAATGGATAACTCACTTTGACTTTTTCCTCTTTATTTGCTACTTCCTTGATCCTCTGAATTTTATCAACAAGATTGTTGAATGAGGTTTTGCTAAGATATTTTGGTAAACCAACCTTGTTCAGGGTTATCTCCAACCTTGTTTCGATTCCTGTTCTGGTTTTGGATTTTTCTATTTCTTCGAAGAAAGATGTGGTATCATACAGATCATTTTTCTTCATCTCATACACCTCAAGATCCTCTGGAGTTACTTCATTTTCCAAAATCATCAATTCTATATCTGTAGGAAACCATTCCTGGTTTCTATAGTCAATGTAGTCCGCTATCATCTTATCTTTCCTGGTAGAGTGTTCATCATCTATCCATGTATCCATCACTTCTTCTTCTTTGTTTGTGGAGTAGTCGTCATCAAACCACGCATTCATGATTTCACTTCTAAAAAAATATTTTTTGCTTTTCGTTTTTGTGGATTGTTTGACTATTTTTACAAATCGTTTGCTGAGAATTTCACTTCTTCTTTCTGGAAATGCTTTATAGCAACAACAACAAGTTTGAGACTGAGAGTGTCATCAGTCTTGTCTTTGTAAACCCACTTCAGGTGAACGATACCATTGACGGTGTCACCTTGCTTGATCTTGTTGGTTTTTGATGGTTTGTTATCCTCATCAAAGATAGCACAATCAGGAGAAATCTGGAGAAACAGTATTGGGTGGTCACACTTTTCTGTGTTAATCCTGCTTCTAACCACAATTCCTTTGGATTTTATCTGCTTCTCAATACAACGGATGGATTTACAAATGCCACTGTCAGAAGAAAATTTCAGAGAGTCCTCTTGTCCTTTCTTCACAACATTCATGATATTTGTCTCATCAGTGAATTTTATGTATGGTTCCTTACCATTGATTGTCAGTGATCCACATTTATTCCCATCCTTGATTGTAATTCGACAATCAATGGAGTCAGTGAGAATAGCAGCTGTGTCAAACGGGGTTGGCTTCTTGCTTGTCATCTTGGAAAGTTTGTGTAGAATCGTTGGTTATACCTATGGCAACCGTTCCTCTGATACAGAATAATTAGGAATCCTCATCCATAGCTGAACCACCCGAAGTTGGCTCAGAAACCGATCCCACATCAGTCCTCGAAGTGAGCCAAGATGGGGTAAGTGAAAAGCTGAAGTTGGCTCAGAAACCGATCCCACATCAGTCCTCGAAGTGTGCCAAGATGGGGTAAGTGAAAAAGCTGAAGTTGGCTCACTTCCAATTTTCTCGGAGACCGCAAGTTGACTCACTTTTCTGGAACTGGGTTGAGCCAACATGGGATCAGTGGTTGGAGTGGTAAAATTAGTACTTGGAGGTGTAAAATTAGTACTTGGAGTTGTAATATTAGTACTTGGGTGTCTATCCTTTAGTACAGTAGTATAGGGGGAGGGGGAGACTTTGGAGGGAGGTCCGAAGGGCCGATCTAGAAAGTCGATTTTGGCTCACCTGGAAGGTGAGCCAGAACCCCCTCCCCCTATACTACTAAGGCAATTCCTTGCCTCCTAGTTCTCGCTTGTACAAGTTGTCACCCTTCCTCGATGACGCTGGGTTGCTGCAGGTCGGCGGCAGGCTGTAGGAAAGTGAGCTAGGATATGACGCTAAGCACCCTATCATCCTAGCGAAACATCATCTGACCGAGCTCTTGCTGGAGATGGTGCATAAGCAACGATTGCACCAAGGTGTCGAGAGCGTCCTTGCCTTTCTTCAACGCAAGTTTTGGATTATGTCTGGGCGTCGCCTGCTGAGAAGTGTTACCGAGAGATGCTTTGCTTGCCGTTGGTTCAAGGCCAAAGCAGCAGCCGAGGTGGTGGCGCCCTTACCAGCAGACCGTGTTGAACATCAACAGCCGTTCGGCCTTACAGGCATAGACTACGCCGGTCCTCTTTACGTCCAAACGGGAGAGCGGTCCGCAAAGTGATGGGTCGTGCTCTTTGTATGTGGTACCACTAGAGCAGTTCATCTGGACATGGTGGATAGTCTGTCAACAGAAGCGTTCCTTCTTGTCTATCGCAGATTCGTCGCGCGACATGGGAAGCCTTGCAGAATTCGTTCGGACAACGCTACGACGTTCAAGGCTGCCGCGGAGAAGATAGAGGTAGTGTGGAGCTTCAACCCTACCGCAGCACCCTGGTTTGGCGGGTTTTATGAGCGCCTGGTCGCCTGCGTGAAGACACCTCTGAAGAAGGTGTTGGGCAAAGCGCTTCTGAAACCTGAGGAGCTGGCCACAGTCCTGGCGGAGATCGAGGCAGTGGTGAATTCGCGCCCGCTTACGTCCGTATCAACGGACATCGGTGATGACATGGCCTTGACCCTGGCCATGATGATGGGAGATGTCTTTGCACCAGGGGCCCCCGAGGTAGAAGACGGCGTTACAGCTGCACAATTGTCGGCCCGGTTCAGTTACATCATCAATGTCAAGGAGCACCTGAGGAAGCGGTGGCGGGAACAATACTTGGTCGGCCTCAGCAGCTACCAGTCCGCCCAGGCCCGTCCGATCAAGGCTGGCGAGGTTGTCCTGGTTGTTGACGACAAGAAGAAGCGGCACCTTTGGCGCCTCGGTAGAGTGATAGAGCTGTTCGCTGGTCGAGATGGCAAGAGCCGAGTAGCACGGGTGAAGATTGGTAACAGCACCATGCTCCGGGCAATTCCCCGTCTGGTTCCGTTTGAAGTGGCTAGTGAGCCCGAGCAAGTGGCTAGTGAATCGGAGGTGCCAATCGAGCAGCTGGCAAATACTCCAGCGGATGAACAGAGTTATCCCGTCTCAATCCCAGCAAGTCCAGATGTGGGGCAACCGGCTGAGCCCCGAGAGTCACCTTGTTTGAGGAGGTCTAGGCGGGCCGTCAGGATCCCAGCTCGTCTTGACTTGTAGTGTGCGAAGACCTTTGGTGGGGAGGATGTTGTAAATGCGTTGAAAAGGTCTCCGTTGCACGTCCTGAAATCTCGTCACGACTTCGACTCCTTGCCTGTTTTCCTGCTAGCTGTTGCTGCATGCCATTGATTTAGTCTAATTGATTCTGTATTAGGTAACTTCTCTTACCTGTTGGTCTTTGGCCACGAATGTCGTCTGAGTAATTATGAACATTGCGTGCGTTTGCTAGTAGAGTTCACGATTTGCTAGAGTTACTTACGTGCTTTGTTACTATTCTCCCTGAGTGAAGTTCCGCTGCTGAGTAATCCTACGATGTGTCACTATCTGACAGGGTTTACTCTCACCCATATCGGGTGCAAGCACCCACTGACAGGTGAAACCCTTCGGCTTCCCATACGTCTCTTTCATCTTTCCTTTCGGATTAATTATTGTAGTTTGAATTTCTATTTGTTTATTTATTTTGTGTGTGCGTGCACGAGCCGCTGCCATGTTTTTGCAGTCGTGTATACCGTCATATGGTCATCTCACGCGTGCACGATATCTGGCTTGCCTTATTTGTTGCGTGTTTGGTACGCTGAGTTCGCTTGGGTTGCCGTGTGTGCACCGGTACTGGCACGTTTTGCTGATGACAGCGTTTTGAGTGGTTTTGTTCCTTTGTTGTTTTCTTTGGTGTTTTTCGTTGTTCTCTCAGAGTCGCAATAGCTCTCTTACCCGTATACCCGTTATGCATTCTATTCTATCATTACTGTAATGTTTATCTATCTAAACTCGTAATGCTCGTGGTGGTTGAGACTGAGAGTGCTTGTGTGCGGTACGCCTGGAAGTCTTGAGTGAGGTATCGTTGAGATACAACGCATACATAAAAGGGTGCTTGAATTTGACGACTTCTGAGTTCTTGGCTGATGGACTATCATACGTGAACCGCTGGATAAGGGAGGCAATCCACATCTCCAGACACCTGACCATCCTAAGGTGAACCGTGATCGTGGCTGGGTGTTGCTTGACAATTGACAATGTGAAAAATTGAATGATGATCATTGTTTCTGTTGCCACTGTCCTGTCCTGTTGTCATGTGTGCTTGTTCACGCCATTGTTATATACCGGTAGTTCAGCACAATGTTGTAGTATAAGTGCAGTTTGGCGACGGAATCTCATCTACTTTTATTTTCTTTTGTCATAGTCCCACCACTATTCACACCTTGTTTTCAGGCACATTGGTATTTTTGGTGTGTGTTTTTTAGTTACACGTGGTTGGGTGTGATTTGGATTGTGAGCTTGTGTGAGTGAGTGTTGCTGTGAGTGTGAGTAGGAGTGGGCGTCTCAGTGTTTTGACACGTGCATGGGTATGTGTGTGTGCCTGTGCCGAAAGGAGGGTCCAATGTTATCACGTGACGTATGCTGTAGTTTCGTTCCACTTTGGGTTGCCTGTTATAGGTCCACCTCACTTGTTTTTTCTTGTTTTTTCTCCTCAATCCTGATGATGGCTCCTGGCCTAAAATTTGACCACTTTGCTCCCCCTTATGTTATGGCTGCCCGTTTTGGATCCATCAGTTGCCTGATGATTGTAGTAATACGTGAAACTCAGAGTTGTAACAAAGCTTCCAAACTCTCTCTTGTGATTGAGAATTATTGTAATTGTAATGCTTGCTAATAGCTGCTACAGTAGTAGTTGTTATTAGCTCTATACAATGTGATGAATCTGGAAAGGCGATTGTCTTCCATTGATTATTGGGCTAAATTGGGCTAATGCGAACGTACATGTATACCACCCAATGAACACCCAACCGGGGATGTTCACACCCACTGGATTAAGGACACGTGCATACTTTAGTGTCTTGTATTTAAAAAGCCTGTCTTGTATAGTCAATAGAAGCCTGGTTTCCATGCTGACATACAAATAAATACCTGGTTGAAGTATAAGACTGATACACAATACACGACATCACGGTACATGCATACACCCTTCTGTAAAATGTACATGCATCCACACCAGATATACATGATTATGCATGTCACAACGCCATTCAAACGTATAGAAGTAGAAAACCGTACTTTACCAATAAAGAAAGACACCATTTTATTACAAAGAATAAGAATATTATAGTCTTAAAGGGGAAGTTAAGGCAAAAATTAAAATTTCACCAGTTGTAGTCTTCCGGGTGCTGAGTCGAATGGTCTTGGTCCGAGGAAGCTGAGAGGCTCCCTTCCTACTTGAATCCCAATCGAACTCGCGCACTTCCACCGAAACTGGGTGACTGCGCCCTACTAGATGGGGATTTGTATGCAAAATGTCACTAAAAGCGCCATTTCGTTCTTATAAAAGCACGGATGACCGCGATTGGCCCATATGTTGTAGTCTTTTGGACGCTGAGTCGACTGGTTTTGGTCCGAAAAGGCTGCGATGCAGCGTTCCTCCTTTATTCCCAATCGAACATGGTTGAACAAGCGGTCACGTGGTCCTGGGTGCCCAAATCACCTGGTCACCACGCCAGCAGGTGACAACTTTCACACCAAGGTTCAACTCGAGTTCAACTCGAGTGACAGGACTGCACCCAAAAAAGGTCAAACAGGCTATAGTAGTAAGTTGTACCCTGCAGGCACGGTGACCAGGTGACTGGTGTACGCAGGAGCACGTGACCGCTTCTTCAACCATGTTCGATTGGGAATAAAGGAGGAACGCCGCATCGCAGCTTTTTCGGACCAAAACCAGTCGACTCAGCGTCCAAAAGACTACAACATATGGGCCAATCGCGGTCATCCGTGCTTTTATAAGAACGAAATGGCGCTTTTAGTGACATTTTGCATACAAATCCCCATCTAGTAGGGCGCAGTCACCCAGTTTCGGTGGAAGTGCGCGAGTTCGATTGGGATTCAAGTAGGAAGGGAGCCTCTCAGCTTCCTCGGACCACGACCACTCGACTCAGCACCCCGAAGACTACAACTGGTGAAATTTTAATTTTTGCCTTAACTTCCCCTTTAATATGGCAATAAGTAGGACGAGCTGTAGCGACATGTGGACTACTTTATTAACAATGTAAGCGATGGAGACGATGCAAGAAACAACCTAAAGGGTACGGAAAAATACATGTAAGAAGAAAAAGGGCAATGGAAAAAAAGATTCGAACAAGTTTTCGTACAACACTCTTCAGGAATCACCGTTGTACTAAAGAACAAAATGAGAGCAAAGGAAATAATATAGCAATCAAGGTAGGGTGACACGACACAATGACAGCACTGGAATATCGAGGTGCGATTTCTCACAAAAGTGTGCAGAAAACAAGGGTATACAAGTAAGAACTAAGCGTGATAAGTGTGTATCAGCAACAAAAACAAAAAAAGTGAGAACGAATGATAATAATAACAATAATAAACAAGAAGGTGACAAAACACATTTAGGCACAAGTGGCAACAACGTTGCCACACTACACAAAAGAACATTATTTGAAAATTTTTAGGGTAATAACACAAGTGAGGAGGAGAGTCGAACCGCTGTGGATGACGGAGCAGGTTCTGATTCGGACAGTGAGGGAGAAGGTGAGCTGAGTGAGGGTGAGAATGAGTGTGAGGGTGTGCGCGTGAGTCTAGATTTTGTGCATCCGTCTCGTAATAACAAGTCTTCAGTATACAATCATTCGGTTTCTAGTACTGACTGTTGTCGTACTTATTCTGATTCCTGTTTTTCTGTTTTGTGCCGTGCTCGCCATGGTTATCTTTTGCAGTTACAAGTTTTGGAAGCTGTTTGTAAGCGCATTCATAAGCCGAATTTGTGTGTCCAGAAAGATAGTGTTATTACCCTAAAATTGTTCAAATAATGTTCTTTTGTGTAGTGTGGCAAATTAGGCTTATACAGACACTGAGTCTGTCAGTGTGTCGAAGTCAGTGAGTCGGAGTCAGTGAGTCGGAGAGCAGTGATGGAAGTTATGGTGAGAGTGCAGGTGAGAGTGTTAGTGCTGTGTGTAGGTTTCGTGGTAGCAAGTCTTCAGTGTACAATCATCTGCTAGCTAGTCCTGATTGTTGCAATTTGTATTCCGACTCTTCGTTCACTGTATTGTGCCGTGGTCGTCATGGTTATGGACTACAGTTAAAAGTGTTGGAAGCTATCTATCAGCGTCTGTATAAGCCTAATTTGTGTGTACAGAAAGATAGTATAATTGGGTTGAATTTGTTCAAGTCACGTGTCGTGTTTAGTGCGGCCAAGCTTGGCCGTTAACATTCTAGGTGTAATGTACTGCTGTTATGTGTTATCACGTTGTCTTTCCTTCCTTTCTCCTTTGTTCATTTCTCGCTTTGATTTTTAAAATTCACCCTTGTAAATTTCACTGCTGTTGCTCTTAGTGTTATTTCTCTAACTTAAATTTTCTATAATAGTTCAATTATTAACAAATGGTTTGCACCCCACACCGGAGCTCGCGCTATTCCGCCGACTTTACTTGACACTTGAGTTCAATTATTATTATTATAATTACTACGAAGTAGTGGTTGCGACTTCGGCGATGATTTGTAAGAAAGGGTTTGCTCCCCACACTGGAGCTTGCGCTATTCCGCCGACTTTACTTGACACTTGACTGACTCACGACTGCCATCCAGAGCACACGAGAAGTCCATCGAACCTTCGACTCGGCAACCTGCAAGAAAGCACCACTCCCTGCTCAATACACAGTGTTTCGGGGAATTCACCCCTCATCAGTTGAGCTTGAGTAGGCTGAGGACGATTGTGCCTGAAGAGCACCACTTATACATATGTCCGCAGATTGAGTATATATAATTATATATATTTACACACAACAACAAGGTTGTCAGTTTCATAATACCAAAAGCTTTTCACCCATTTTCATCAGTGGTTACATGGGAATGAGCAAGAACGAAAACGAAGCCAGAATTTATACTGGGGGTAGAGAATCAGCAAGAATATTCTTACGCGCCTCAAGTTCACACTACACTACCATAAGAATGTATGGAGCAGTGGAAAAATGCGGGAAACAACACATGAGGGGAATGCA